ATCTAATAAAATGAAATTCAATGGTGAAAAGAGTAAGGTTCTACATTTAAGCAAGAAAAACAAAATGCACAGGTACAGTATAGGTGGTACCTTGCTCAATAGTAGTAACTGTGAGAGGGATCTTGGAGTCCTAGTGGACAACCATTTAAATATGAGCCAGCAGTGTGCAGCAGCTGCCAAAAAAGCCAACACAGTTCTAGGCTACATAAACAGAGGGATAGAATCAAGACCACGTGAAGTGTTAATACCATTTCATAATGACTTGGCAAGGCCACACTTGGAATACTGCATTCAGTTTTGGTTGCCACAATGTAGAAAAGATGTGGAGACTCTAGAAAGAGTGCAGAGAAGAGCAACAAAGATGATTAGGGATTGGAGACTAAAAATATGAAGAATGGTTGCAGGAACTGGGTATGTCTAGTTTAATGAAAAGAAGGACTAGGGGAGACATAATAACAGTGTTCCAATATCTCAGGGGTTGCTCTAAAGAGGGAGTCAAACTATTCTCCAAGACACCTGAGTGTAGAACAAGAAGCAATGGGTGGAAACTAATCAAGGAGAGAAGCAACTTAGAACTGAGGAGAAATTTCCTGACAGTTAGAACAATTAATCAGTGGAACAGCTTGCCTCCAGAAGTTGTGAATGCCACAACACTGGAAGTCTTTAAGAAGATGTTGGATAGCCATTTGTCTGGAATGGTATAGGGTTTCCTGCCTAGGCAGGGGGTTAGACTAGAACCAACTCTGCTATTGTATTGTATAACTTGAAATCAGTTTCTGAAAAGTCCTTAATAGAGCACATTAAGCTGATCAGTAGGAAGAGAAGAGTTGAAAGGAAGAGTTTGGATGTCAGTATGACTCTCTTCATCAAGCAAAATAAACGAGAGGTGGGGTGCAGAATCCAAAAATTCACCTCTTTTCCTTTGTTGTTTTTCAAACTGTAGCCTTGAGGATATCCTGATCAGAACTTCTTGACGGGCCACCCCAGGTTGGTGCTTAGCTCTCGGTCAGCACAAGTAGTTCTTTTCTTATTCATCTTTCCAACTACTTCCCACCTTTTTCTAAAGGTTGCTAGGTAACTATCCTTATTGACCAACTCCAAGTTAATCCCCTGCTAATGTCCCAATGAGCAAGACAAAAATAATGCCTGTTCAAATAAACAAAACAGTCCACTGCTACGTTATTTTCCTATTCTTCTGGATTTTATGTATTACATAGCACATGTTTTCAGGATTAGGGTTAGGGTTGGTGTTACAGCATTTTGTAGTATTAACATCCTTTACAGTCCAGCTTAATCTAGTTCAGATCTACTTCACTTTCATTGGATAGCCTAAAGATCCAAAGCCCCCAAAATGAAAATAGCATGGCTAGTATTATGAAATATTTCTCATCCTAGTTTGAATCTCATCTCAAATTCAAACTGTGTGATTGGACTTATGCAACCTATACTTAGGCAGTACTTAGGTCACAACCCCCTTCCCCATTTAGGGTTGTTCTACTGTGTTAGTTTATGTGATAAGGCATTTTGGAGTAGTAAAGTTTCTTCTTCATTTTGCATCCTCACTCTATTCTCTATTCATCTCCTCCCTCTCCTTTGGACTTTGAAGAAGCAGGATAGGAAGAATATTGACATTTCTGAACTTTGAAGTTGGAGAAGACTCATGAGAATACCATGAACAGCCAGGAAAACAAACAAATGAATCATCAAATAAACCAACCCAGAGTTCTCAATAGAGGCACAAATCAACCAATTATCCTGCTTTGACATATTATGTAAAGAACTAATGAAAAAGGAAAAGGCTCTAATGCTGGGTGGGGAGGTGGAAGGAAAGAGAAGAAAATGTTGCTAATAGCAAAAATAATTTATTATAAAGAAATGGATACACTTTTAATAAAGGAGAATATTTGTAGCTCAGCATTGATCTGAGGGGTCCTTGGTGTTTTTTGAACTCACTTGTTTTCTTGCAGATATTTCATTAACCAGGCTAGGTAACATCCTAAGTTCTAACACTGATGATATTACCCAATTTGGGTAATGAAATGTCTCCAAGAAAACAAGCAAGCTCACCAAGGAGAGCACCAATGATCCTCTATTGAAATACCTGAAGAACCAGGTAGGGCCAGATCATTGTGAAGTCTATCTATGTGGTTGCTAACAGTTGACACCAACTTGATGGCACATAACCAGTCTTTCCACCCTTGGCATACATGACTTCTAGTCTTTTATGGCTTCTATCCTTCCTTTTTTAAGCCTTACTGCCAACTATTCTTGTTGATTTACCTTCAGTGTCTAGTTAACCACCTTGCTGTACTGTTGGGCAGCCTGCTAAATCACAGGTTTCAGCTGACTGGACTGTATGCTGCAACTAACTGCATTCAAGATCTGTTTTTTGATTTGGAACATATTACCATTCCTAATCCAAGAACTGACACTGTCTTCCTAACCATTTCCAATGTCAATACCTCACTTCTAGCTCTTTTCCACCATGTTCTTATGCAACCTTAGCCTATTTTCTGCTTTCGAATTGTGCTAGACTATAACAAACCTGCAGCTGGGAATTTTAGGATTCATAGTTCAATACACCTAAACAGCATCAGGTGGGGAAACTATTTTAAGCCACAGAAACACGCAGAAATGTATCCTAATCTACAATTTTACATTCATTTGAATTTTGATGGTAGAATACCTTGATTAGTATATACTGAGTGCCTGTTCCCTATGCTTTGATCTGCTATTTGAAAAAATGATTTACAATGGTGAAGAATTGTAAATTTTATGTGCATGTGCATTTATATTTATATGTACATGTATGCATATTTATGTATGTGCATGTGTGTTTTTTAGAACAGCAATTATGAACCATTCCTTTAAAAATGAGTATTTTTGTTGTTATCTGCTTCACTGCTGCTTTCTCTGTGACCCATACCTTATGAATCTCTTCTCACCTTTTTGCAGAAGAGATAAATTGAGATAAATAAAATTATGTGTCATTCACTACTCCTCAAGCTTCTACATTTAGATAAAGGAAATTTCCTTGCACCTTTATCATTTTATACAAGCTAAACCAATTCCGAATGATAATTATTTGCATTTCTAACCCCAGCTTGGATTTGTGGCAACATAATTGATCCATTTAGGGCTTTAGCCCCTCTTTATTTTCAAATTTCCTAGTGCCAATAGATTGAACTACACATTTGAAAAGGACAATCACAGCTGGGAATGGCAAAATACAAAACTTTTTCAGAGTGGACAACCATGGTGACAGGCCAAACCACATACATACAAGGAAGAAATAGCAACATCATGATTTTTTCTGTTGCTTTTTTGAAGGATAGTCCATAACCACAATAAAAGAGAAAGTCTTTGCTAGATTTTTGTCTCCCATGCAAATTTCTTCTATTTTTGGGAATCCTCAAAACAAGATGAATTCAAGCTTTTTCTGTTGCAAAAATGTATTTAAATCCCACTCACACCAAATCTTGTACATGCTGAACAGCACATTACAAATGAGGTTATTAAATATGCCTGCATATTTATTTTTAATGCAGATCATTCTTTTTTTACAGCTGAATCTATTTTGGGCACAATAAAGATCTGAACGCTCTCACACTGTGTTCCTCATGTGCAAGGGAATTTCATTCAGCAGGGGAGTTATTTCCTCTAAAAAGTGCAAGGCAATATCCATTTCTTCTGCAGAGTAAAGTGCTCCTGAATTTTTGCCATTCAAGACAATTAACTAGTTAAGTAGTTTTCCTATGTGGGATATCTTTGACCTTAATATCAAGTAACTGTCCATCCCATTATTTCTCTTATCAGATACTAGACCTGTTTCTCAAGCTGCCACTTTTTGAAGCAAGCATACACCCAAACACACACACACACACACACACACACACACACACACACACACACACACACAGAGGGATGGGAAGGGAGGCTTGCTGGACAAATACAATAATAATGACTAACCAAACATTTCAGATATGTTCACAGATGCACACAAGTTGCATTGTGCATAAACCATTCATCATTCCACAGGCAATTGATGTTCATTAAAGGTGAACACAAAAATCAGGACATTCTCCCCCTCTCCCACATCTGTGAGTTGTATCAATTGGGGGGGGGGTGAAGGAATGCTCTAATTTCTGTAACCAGCCCCCCAAGGGAGGCTTAGTGACACCTGAAATCTGAAGATTTTTCCTCTCTGCAATCATTCATGCTATTGAAATACACATGCACGCACACACCCTTCCTCTTTAAGCCATAACCTCTGCTTTCTTTCTTTCTTTCTTCTTTCTTCTCTCACTCACTTACTTTCTCTTCCCTAAGCTTCTTTGTTTCCATCATTTAACAAACCAGGCCAGCAACAGCCTTACTCTTCATGAGAAATTAAGTGGGTGTGGAAAGAAATAGGGAAAATAGCAAGGCAACCATTTACAAACTGAGAGCATCCCGGTAAATCTTAAGTGCAAATTAAGCCAGGTGGTTAAAATCTTAACAATTGGACTCAAACATCTAACGAGACCTGACCTTTCCGCCTCCCCACCCACCCCCATCCCCATCTCTTTTCCAATCTATATTGCTAGGACAATAGGTTCTGTAGCTACTTAATCTCCTTGGAGCTCAGCAGCCTTGACAACAACAGGGTGGGGGAATATACAGACCCAAAGAAAGCAGTGGACGCTCAACAACTCTGATGTACCCTAACATCTCTTCCTTCCCAGTTCACACTTAAATCAGAGATGTGGTAGAATTTTACCTTATTTCTCCATCACAAGCAGCGGGAGGGGGGGGGGAGAGAGAAACGAGATTCTCCTACCCACCACACCCCCTTTTCTTTATCAAAAAGAATAATGCCCAATTCGTATGTTGAGATTTGAAGCAAAGACTAACACTATCTGCTAACAAGCATCCCCCTAGCAGCAAGAGCATCCTACAGAATCGGCAGGTTGGGAAAGAGAAAGGAAGGATTAAAAAAAAAACACCAATAAAAAAAATACCTGCTACTTAAGAATGGATGAACATTGACATGCCTTGAGATGGTGTATTTCCCATCGTGGTCTCGGCTTTGTTCCTCAGCCTCCGTTGGTCTGTCTGCCCGTTTGTCTTTCTTTCTCTTGCCGACTGACTCAGGCCCAGTCAACCAGCAGAGATCGGTGGCAGAAGTGCAAGAAGAGAGTGTGAGTGTTTGTCTGTGTGCGTGTGTGCGTGTGTGTGTGTGTCTGCATGTACCCGTGCACGCGCGAGCCTCGGAGATAGTACAAAGGAAAGGAATGGGCAAAACACATTAGCTCATGATAGATTAATGTGCTAAGGGAAGACACCCTCTCTTTTTTTTCTTTTCTCCCCCTCTTAAAGGCCCCTACCTTTTAATCAAAGATGGGTGTCTAGCAAAAATGCCAGGAGGATACCATAATAACAGTAATGATAATACCAGGTTGGTGCATAATTATTGCTGTATTCTGGCAGGTCCAGTGGAGGCAACAGAACCATGTGGTCACACACAAAGACTATCTGCATTTTTTTTTTAATTCTCTCTCTCATTCATCTTGTGTTCCTATTTCTGCCTTGCAGAAAGAAGAACCCTTAAACTGTAATAAGTATGAATATTTTCTTACTTTTGTTTAATAAATTGAGATAGGTCTTGGATCCTAAAACCATCAGATTAGCATTCTACTATGTAGCACAGCTGTGAATCTATCTACCAAATCATTTACAATACTTATTTTGTTGACATATTCTTCAAGACATAGCTATTACTAAACCATTGCAATCTGCCTAAATTATGTTCCATGTTGACAGGAGAAAACATTGACATATATCTCAAAGTATAATCCAACTTTGTAGGGATGCTAAGAAAAAAAAGAAATGTTTTTTTAAAAAAATAGGAAAGAAATCTATGCATAAAACATTCACAGAAAATCATTACATGCTCAGGAGAGCATTTAAAACCCCTTCTTCCCAAACTGATACTGATGTTACTACAAGAGCTAATTTTATCAGAAACAAAAAAATTAGAAGAAATGTGGTTTTTAAGAAAAGGAGATCAAGAAAAACCCGAATTCAATTCCTTTGTTATAATATTTTTTCCCAAACAACAGTGACAGGTGTCAATAATAAAGTCCCTAGCTATCCATTATTTGACAGTTCAGCACTTCTCACATCTAATTAAGAATATTTAGATTTAGTTTTCTGATTGGAATCTGATGCTTCTGTTCCTCTTACAAAGTACCTAGAACTGCAAGGTGCACATTTTATTGCCATTTGACAAAACCAAGCTTCTAGCTCTCAGGTTAGCTGAAGAAAAAATGTAAACGTAAAAGCAAGGCAAAAAAAATATTTTTTTAAATCAAATAATTACAGAGAATGAATTTTATCCAGAGGTCTCCAGGACTAGAAAATGACACATCATTAGAGCTCAGTATTGTTGCAATTTTTTTTTAATTCACAGTTTATGTGGATGTGCTAATTTCCTAAAATGCCATACTTGAGGTGTACTGGGCTATAAATCAGTAGAGTAGAGTAGAGTAGAGTAGAGTAGAGTAGAGTAGAGTAGAGTAGAGTAGAGTAGAGTAGAGTAGAGTAGGAGTAGGAGTAGGAGTAGGAGTAGGAGTAAGAGTAAGAGTAGGAGTAGAGGGCAGGGCAGGGCAGGGCAGGGCAGGGCAGGGCAGGGCAGGGCAGGGCAAAGTTGGAAGGGACCTTGAAGGTCTTCTAGTCCAAGCCTCTGCAGGAGAATCTATACCATTTCAGACAAATGGCTATCCAATCTCTGCTTAAAGACCACCAGTGATCTAGTGACTAAAGGAAATTATAAATAGATCATAAAGTATTTATAATATGTGTTCCTGGTTAGTCTAAGAACATCACTGCATTTTGTTTTTATGTAGCAAATGTATATGGGGCCCATGTCAGTGGACTCTAGGCAACATACAATAACAACTAAAACAATATCCCAACTATTAAAAAACTTAAAAGAATAAAACTAAGTGAAAAGATTGTGGGGAAAATAGCAGCCATCTAAACAAGAATACAACCATTTCACACACTCCCTATGGGATCCCCGAAATTGCTGAAAATGATTTTTTTTGAAAGATTGACAGGGATAGAGCTAACCTGACCTTTCCTTTTAATATATATGCAATTCAGGCTTATCCCATTTAGAGATTGTTCTTACAAGGACACTTGCAAAAAAACACAACCCTTGACTTTCTCATAGCAATTTCAAAAGGTAAGGCTACCATTCTTAATCTTTCTTACTGTAAGGTCCATGAAACAAAATTGGTGTTACTGTATTTCCGAATAAAGACAAAGAACTGTGTAGTTGAGAGACCATTTAATCAGCAAGCGGTTAAGAAGAAAACTAATGTCAGGACTCTTAAATTAGACACAAGCTGCATTATCTGCTAAAGCTTGCCAAATATAATATATGAAATAATACAGAGTTATTAAAACTCCACTTTGTTAAGTTCTTTTAAAAAATACTGGAAACCAATGTACTAGGCAAATACTATTATACTTCAAGATCTCCTTCAATGGCATCCCAACATAAGGATAAACATCCTTCTGGATATGCAATAATAGATGGAGTGTCAGTTTGGGAGTTCTGGGAAGTATGTGTTCTTCCTGAAATGCTGTCACCTTGAAATCCATGAGATGCTCATTATTAGATACCTGTTGGAAGTCTATCTCCTCGTGCAGACCTCATTGTAAATGTTATTACTGATTTTATTTTACTTTCTCTCTCTTATGCAATGATTTCATGCTGTTTGAATGTACTGTACCTTAATATTATTCTTTTTATTCTGGGTTTTTTTTTAATTGTACTCTGGCATGCCATCTGTTATATATATATATTGGGATTTGAACCTGGGCTATATTGCACACTAGGCAAACTTCTTAGCCATTAGGCCACAGGCTCTTATCCGTTATCAGTGAAGCCAGGGTGAAAGGTATCTATTAGATTTCTTTTACAACCCCCGGTATGCCCAAATATGGGAGGAAGGTCATTCCACTCTCTGTCCTTCGGCTCGTCACAAGAGACCATCCAGGCAGAAACCCAATATTTTTACTGTTGCCTTTTTGTTACATTTTGTTGTATTTGTGCTGATAAATAAATAAAGGGAGACTAGTATAAAATAAATTGCAAGTCATGTATTAATGAAATGGCTTTCATAATTTTGGATTTAATTTTGAAAACTTTTTCAAAGCTCACTGAAGTGCAATACTTGAAAACAGCCATATGTTTTTCTAGAAACATGTGATTATATTCAACAGCTACCAGGAAAGATACAGCTGCTTTAAAGAGTTGGCAACTTAACTGACATGTCTCAAATGTTGTAAAACATTGTATGAAACTTGATTTTTTTTTCTCCATGTCCAATCAACTTATCTAAGATAAATCACTCTTTTAAGTATTCATCTATATGACACTTCTTTATAACAAAGATACACAAAGATTTATTTATTGTGGCTGCTCCATAATTACATTGGAGATTCATAAAAATGGAAGGGTTTGTGTCTTTTAAAAATGTTTTAAGTAGGAGGAGAAAGGAAGGGGAAGTAGAGTAGTATGGAAGCGGAAATACACCAATGAGAGGAAGAGTGGGAAGCAGAAGGGAGAAGAAAGGTGGGAAGAGAGGGATAGGAGAGAGGGTAAGGGGGGGGATGAGGAGGAGGAGGAGGATAAGGAGGAGTGGAATGTAGAGAAAGGAGAAGGAGAAAGGAAGGGGAAGTAGAGTAGGAAAGGAAGATGGAGGGAAGATAGGAAGTAAGAGAGAGGTAGAAGAAAGAGGTGTATGGAGAGTAGAAGAGCTAATAATGGGTGTTAGTCTTTTTGGGGCGTTGAGGACAAGAGGAACTGATGTAATCATTATTTAATACTATATGATACTGGCTATGTATAGTATACATGTGATTGTATGTTATGAAAATGGAAATAAAAATATGTTTATAAAAAATGTTTTAAGTAGGGTGGTGACTCTTAATGATTCTTCACAAAACACTAGCTTTTAAGAGGCATTACAAAAGTATGACAATACCTTAAAAGTCAGTTAGGGACCAGGGCCTAGTTTGCACAACAACAAATATGCAGAATGGCTTGATAAATGTAATTCAGTTATTTCTGAGCACAGAATTTAAGTTTCTATTTTGGAGAACTCTGCTTTTTGCTTCTATAGCCATCTACTCAGCCTTATTTATGTCTCTTTCCACTAAAATCAAACATGCTCTTAATAGTTTTGCACAATTTCAGTATTACAGAGAAGGACATGCAGAGGCTTTCCTGGTACCTGACCCATAGTACCAAACCCTCTGCCATTTGAAGAGAGCTACTGAGTCTATTTTGGAAGAACAGAACAATCCTATACATTAAACTTTGGATTTGATTTTACTTAAAATGTTCAAATATAAATTGGCTTTCATATTTGCTTTTATTGCCTGAGTAACTTTTTTGCAGGAGAGCACACCAAGAGAGAAAAGTTGATTGCTAATGCGTAATACTAAAGCTTATTCAAGGTGTTTCACAAAAATGTTTTGCTGCATCTCTATAAAATATATTATAAGCATCATTCTCTGTATATATTACAGAGCAGGGGACATAGACATGAGAAACATGCTATGACCACATAAGCAAGATATAAACAGAGACCTGCCTACACTCATTCAAAATTTCTATATCAAAATTTCAAATAATATCTCCTCTTTCAAGAAACCATAGCAAACACAGGACAATAACTACTCAACTCAGCACTATTCTTTCAAAGTAAAATATGGAAACAGAGTATTAGCAATAGCAACCCTCTTCATACAACTTGAGCATTTTCTACCATTTGCTGCTTTGTTATTCTAAACTAGTATGCAAGAGAGATTACTTACAAAAAGAAGAACCAAAGCAAAGTAGGCAGCTAACATTCAGCTCTAGCATAAAGCTGTGATGATCTGATAACAGGCCTAGAAACTGATGGCCACTTAATTTTCTTTTTTCTTGCATTTGGTGCCTCTAATTTTAGAAGCACATTGAATTCAGGTGCGGCACTTGCTTTTCTTGGGGCTTCCTAGGTGATCATGTATCCACCTCTGGGAAATGCAAACAATAAGACTAAATTAAAGTTCAGCAAGGCGGGGGTAGGGAAAGGCTGATTGGTGTGGGAAGGTCTTCCCTGGAGAAGCTTTCTCCAACCCTAGAAAAC